TTAGGATTCACCTCAAGTTGGCGATGCAACCAAAAGTATGAATTATTTATTTGTTGTTTATTTAACCTCTCGATAGCAGGTTATCGAAAGAACATATTCATTTTGTTTAGTGATCATGAATTTTAAGAGTCATGACGGAGAGCTTGGGATTAAACCCATGATTTTCTGCTCAGTAAGCAAAAACGATCCCTCCAGGGTCATCGATCATGTGAAATATCTTGGATTAGTACTTGACCAAAAATTAACTTTTAAAGATCACATTGAGGGCATCCAAGCCAAATGTAACAAATATATAAAATGTTTGTATCCCCTTATAAACAGGAAATCCAAACTTTGCCTGCACACTTTGAAATTTTTACAGAAATCTGTAAAATTTTACCGAAATCTTTGATCTTTTTTTTTTTGTAGATTTCCTGTAATTTTTCACAAATATCTGTGAATTTTTCACAGATATCTGTAATTAATTACAGGAAAACTATAAAATTGTATACCGAACGTTCTGTTGTGCGAAGTGATAATGTTAAGGACACAAACTGCAGTTTCCTTAGCTCGGTAGAAAAAAAAACTAAGTGTGTAGTACGGCAGTGTAAACGTTGTACATAGAAAGTAGAAAGCGAGCAAAGGACAATTTTGAGAAAGGTACGATCTAGGTCGAACATACCTTTTTACCAAACTCATCTGTTGATGAGTGGTGGCGAGGAGTGTTTGTTGCGCGGAATCGATTCGTACCTTCCTCAAAATTGTCCTTTGCTCGCTTTCTACTTTCTATATACAATTTTCACACTACTGTACTCTAACGGAACTAGCAACTCATTACTTTCATCTCCTCATCTATCGTATACAATGTTCACTTTAAGTCTGATATTGACGTTAAGCATCTCCAAATATGGAAATCCTTAACTTCACGCTTGAAATAATAAAAACATAATTGATTAAGGTGTGAATTATAGCTGAAATTAATAGATGTTAACTATAACGATACTGAACCACGCTTTTTCAATCATTTCCTAGCAGATGTCACCACTGATCTCGGTCACGACATCGCTATCGAAAAATCCACAAACTGTTTTTCGTGAGTTGTTAATAAAGAACAGTGCAGTATAAAAGCTTGTAAATCCCTTTCACAGACTTCAAAATAAAGTACCTGGCACTACAAAACAAACTGGTAACTCGTCTACTTATACTTTTATATTCACCAAATCTGCGAAAAGGCAGGAAATCATGTTAAGGTGTTTAGATTTTCGATAAATTTGCATTTTAAGCCATTGTATGCGTTTGGTGTTCAACCTGTTTTTCATTAATTTTTCAATAAGCCATTTAGTCAAGGTTATTTTTCACACATATGCCGCACATAATACTTCAAGAACAACATGTGAAAAGAGCATAAACAAACCTTCTTATGCCCTTTTCTCGCCACCTATATGACACCAACGCAACCCATCAACATCAAACCATAAAGGAATCGTATATATGCGACTAATTGCCATGTATACCGGATATTCTAGGTTCTCCAAATCGTCCTAGAGTTCAGTTGATATGTTCTACTAGATTAACAAAGACTGCAATAATGTCTGTAGTATCGAAATATTTACAAACAGATTCATAGTGTCTATGTGGATCATGCCCGACCAATTGCTACGTATACAAGATGTTATAGGTTGAAACTAATGTTCTGCCCGACAACAACTCAGCAGCACGAGACTCCTTGAACCGTGTCTCAGAGTCGGCGCACTACTGGGCAAACTGGAGGGGCTACGCGGATGAAAAGGCACTCAAGCTTTCAATTAAACTGAAACACAACGCGGATCAATTTAAATACTGTATTTCTCCAATTACCGATAGTGTGGATTGTGTGGTGTTGTGTTCGATTTTCTTGGCACATACCCTTGATGACGATGGCGACTACGACGACTGCAGACCAGCGAGCGCTCGCTGTGGTTCCGGAAAGATCCCCAAAGGCCGATCTTGTCGGCAAGATGGCGGTACAATTCCGACAATGGCGGACGAAGCGAGGCTGACCGAACGTCGGCCGTAGTGCGATGGCCGGTTGGTTTTACTGGGCTGGTATAGCGGTTTGTGGAGATGGTTAGGTTAGGTCAAGGTAACTAAATGTCACCTAGACCGTAGCGTGCAATGGCGGTCCTTGACTCGCCAACCAGAAAACCATTTGATTGGTTGAAAAGAAAGGTCCTGAATCAGCTGAATTGGTGATTTCCACTTCGCCGTGATTCACTATTCGCACTGTATTCTGTTAAAATGAATTCCACAGACACTTCTGGTCTACACGCTCGCCTGAGATAAAGTGCACGATGGCCGTTCTCTAGGCATCGCAGAACCCTTCAGCTCATCACCCGTGACTCCGTGTCACCATTTTGCCGCGGCCATGCGCGCCTTATTCAGCAGTCGGCCGTTAAGCATGGCCGTATCGTCTGCCCAGTGGGTTTCACCGCAAGTGTTACACAAATTTATTTGAATGCTCGATCACATGGTGCATATTTAAAATATTGTATTGAACCTTTGTAACAGAACGGTTACAAGGTTCTGGAATCATTCTGGAGATCAGATTATTTGTTCTACTAGATCACCCAACACTAATTCAATATCTGCAGGACCGAAATATGTTCAAACATATTTGCAGGAAGTCTATGTGGATCATGACAACCTATTTCTGGGTATGCCAGATGTGCTAGGATTTCCAAATCGATATTTCGATACTATAGATATTATCCCAGATTTTGTTGATTTAGTAGAACATATCATCTGAATTGCAGGACGATTTGGAAAAGCTAGAACTCTGGAAATAAATCGTACATTATCCACATAGACACTATGAACCTGTTTGAACATTATTCAAGTCACGGCAAGGGGGTTGGTCACCCTACACACTTATTTTGCTCCATTGGTTATTTTTTTCTCAGTGTGCCGCAGCTGTGCCAGCAGTGCCGAGAAGTCATTGAACCGATTTTTTTTGCTTGTGAATACTGCCTTGTTTGGCAAACCGGTATTTTAACAGCTCTTGTTTTTGTTTTGTTTTCCGAAACCTGAGATGACCCGGGAGTAGGAACAACATTTCCTTCCCGAGATACGGACCTTGCGGATGTATTTTGCCAAAACGGTTCTGCAACATCATATGTTGGACGATGGAATGGTTGGTGTAGCAGCAGAAGCAGTAACAGCCGCCGATATGGATGTCTTCGCATATATATATGGAGCAGTTCTAATGGTCGGATTGTATAGTTTTTGTTTAGTTGTTGACTGGACTGGACCGAGATTTCCAGCCTCGGCCACGGCTACTCGAATTAGCGATACAGCTCCCACGACTGCAGCCGCTTCCAACGCTTCTGCTGCTTTAGTTGCTGCTGCTGCTGTTCCGTCTCCTCTAAAAACCGTCAAAATAATGTTAGGAGACGGACGAGCAGCAACAAAAGCAGCAGCATCCGGGGGAGCTGCATCGCTTATTTGTGTAACCGTTGCGGGAAACTTCGGTTCGGTCACGATACCGCTGTCAGCTGTTCTTTGTCTGGGAGGAAATGTGGAAGCGACTGCCGTTACGGGTGTAACGATTTTTGAGGGATGAGAACTTTAGGTGATAAACTATCTTGGATGAGCAAATTTTTCCGGTAATGTTGGGATGGTGGAGTGTTGCTAGGCAAGCGATTGCCCTGATTCTTCACGCTGGGTGATCGGAATGATTGTACGCAGTCCGGCGCGAAATGATGTACCTAGTTCTTCGGACAGGCATCAAGATGTGCGCTGCCAATTCGCTTTAGGAGAGTCTATGGCTAGACTTGATGGAGATTCACGATTGTTTTGAAGAAAAAAATGGATTATATTGTGGCAACATCAACAACAAATTTTGACACATACACACTGCGCAGGCGCAGAAAAAGTTCAGTGTTGCCAGTAACTTTAAAGATCAGATAAATTGTAACCATAGGTGCCAAACAGTGCCTATGACTGTGCCCAGGTGTGCCTAAGCTTGTTTTTGGGTATGTGTTCAATCCCAGCCGAGGTCGGTGGGATTTTTCTGAGGCTTACAAATCTCTGATCACGTCTTCCTTATGAAGGGAAGTAAAACCGTTGGTCCCGGCTCATGTGTGTTGAATAGGTGCGACTGCATGGCAATCGATGTCCGTCGATGATTGGCACTAATTTGCGGATTTCACCTATTTAATTATTCAAGAAATAAAACTCACCAGTTTGCTTGAAAATAATAATAATAATAGATCAAGTGTACCAAATATTTTTGCTGTGCAGATTTCTAAGGTTTACTTTTGTGAGTTTTTTTTTAAATGCATTTCATGGGATGAATTTCTAGAGAATTTCCACAACTTTTAAAACCAATGGCAATTGCAGGAAAAAAAATCCTGGACGTTCCTTAAAAATATATCATAAATAAGTACATAGCTTACCTTTTGTTTTCGTTTCAGCTATGATGCAAAGACGCCTTTGAACATTTCTGGAACAACCCACAAATGTAGCCATTTCGGCTATTCTGCGGACTTCTGCCAGTGCCATCCGCACGCTTATTGATCACATACATAAAACATGGATGAAGAAATTGAATTGCAAAAGACCGACCGACCATACACAACACATCAAAAGCTTCCAGCGCATACATCATCCATCGTGCATGTGACGCATAAAACGAATAATGATGGATGTTAAAATATATTAATAAAACACCTACTTCGAAAGAAACGTAAAAAAAAAACAAAAAAGAACAACAACACTTAAAGAGCCAGAAGGTTATAAATCTGACGAAGCAAAATTGAATGCCATTTTATCATTCTTCAACGCAAACAACGCGAAAGAAACAAGACCGTAAACGTAGGGGAAAACATTCCAGCGGCGACGGCGACGATGACCAGCAAATGGAAGGCATGTTCTTCAACTTTTCCAACAACTCAGCGCACTCATCATACCAAACTTGCTTCTTTCGCCGGAGAATCCCCAGCGGTAACATTGATTCTCAGAATCTGAGTCCAGAATCACCCTACCGTGTGAATAAAATTACCACCAACACTTTGGACCACCGTTTTGCTCTTCTTCCGCTGGAGAAATCACACCGAATTTAACAATATCATTCTGCCATGCACAAAATCAAAAACAAACGAACTAATACTGCACGGCGGTAGCTTAAATTCCTATTATTTTCTATATTTTTATTTTTCATTTAATATTTCGGTCCAACATCCAGCAGGAACGTCACACGTCGTAGGAAAACAAATTTTGACAGCTCAGCGAATAAAAAACATAAACCGCAGCCTTTTGCCTTTCCTATTTACACACACCATCACCGCATGTGGTGGTGTTTTCATCCCAAACTGCAGGGCCAGCCTTTCTTCACTGCTAAGCACTACCACACACTCAAAATCACAAAGCTCTCACGCGGGAATGTATTAGTGTTTTCAAGCGCCACTCGTTCTGCAACCTTTCTGCATCTCCCCCTAACCCATTCATCCAAAACATCGAACCGCACTCTTCCAAAAACCATCCTAGAACCAGAAATTTTTCAACTTTTCCGGTTCGAACGAGAAATAATACTGAATCTTCTTCTTTTAACACGGGACAACTAAACCAACCTGGTTGAAAATACACTCCACTTTCGCGGTTACCGGAAACTAGCGAGCAGGAAACGAGACGCGAGACACGGCGATGCCGACGCAGATTATTTGGCAGACACGAAGAAAATGTTCACTTATTTTTTTTTCAGTAAAGTTCCCCTGGTACGGCTGGTACGACGAGATTTTTCAACACTACGCGAAAAAACACAAGCGCAAGATGCCAAGTCTTGTGACGATCTGAAACAATAATGAAACCCGACGTTCTTCTCTTGCTTGCGCTGGCTACAGGAGGACCTCAAAGATTGATTACCGAGGTGAAGCAATAGTTGAAATTGTGTGCGTGACACTGCAGTGCTAGTAAACGAAATCACTACTTATAAAAAAGGTCCCGAACGCTGCATGTGGAAATCGTGACGTTACTTTTTGTATTTACTTTTATTCGGTTTACTAATACAACTGTACTTGACGATCAGGATTATCTCCCTCTTGCGGGCTTGAACTGCAGTAGTTCAAAAACCGTGAGCTTGATTGTGTGGGTAATGAAGCTGGAGAAAACAAGTTTTCGAGCTTTTTCGAAATTAAAGCTTTTCGACTTTGAACGGGTACAGAACACGGCCGCTGGAACTAACTCAAATTTGATTCGTTTCTCACTCCTGTTTATTAATTTTCAATAGGCCACTACTGAAAATTACACAAATGTCCAACTGTTGCAATCAGTGATGGCATCATCCTCACTCAAATGATTTTGTTTCGCTCTCAAGGGCTCCCAATATCACGCATGATATTGGAATAAAATATCAAGCATGATATTGTTTTTACAAGCTCCTTTGATATTGCGAGATTATTCAGAACATGTAAAATTGCAGCCACGAGTTGACTTACCACAAAAATGATTCCTTTGCACATCGTTTTCTAAGAAAGAGAAAGCATAGTTTGCTATCTTTCTTTACGCTTCACAGATGGCAGACACGAAGTTACTGCTGCCAGCAGTGATGGAAGTTTCGTTTCGTGTTCGGATGTACATCAAAAATCTTGAAGCTCAAACTCAACACAGTTTGGTGAGAATTGTAGCCGGGGAGTTTTGTTAGCATGATATCATAGCAACCGTATCACAGCTTGTAATATGATCGGCTGTTGTTTGCGTGTTGAGTTTTTGGTCTACGATACTCAAATGAGATTATGCACATTGGTGAGATTAGATCTTTTGATATTTTCACAACACTGGTTGCAATAGTGATCAAAATTATCACCGATTGACTGCAAATAGCGCTTTCCCTAACACAGATTTCAATATCGAATTCCATCCCGTCTCCCTGAACGGTGCTTATTCAATCACCGTGTAAGGATTGGGCGATCTTCAGAGAAAGATCGATCTTATATTTGGCTCTAGAATCGATCCTCGTCGGTACTAAAGAGCCTAAATTTATAAAGAGGCGACATGTCAAAATTGGAACAATCGATTATCTGTCAAAGTCATAGGAAAAGTCATTCCAATCGAGCAGAAGACCTGTCAAATGGATAAAATGTCGTCTTTTTATAAATTCAGGCTCTTTAGTCGGTATCAAAGAATCGATCTTTGGTAGATCGATCTTTTGATTATTTGTAATACGCTTGTTTAAGTTGGTAGGGGCCTCATAGCCTAGTCAGTAAAGGCACACTCTTAGTTTTTTTGCCGAGATGGGCACCACCGAGCAGCTCGGCAATCTATTTTGCTGGATATCAGTGAAAAATTTGCATTGGTATTGGCATCGAAACAATGAGCTTTATACCCCGTTCACATTACAGCGTATAGCACGTGATATACGCTGTCTTGCAATGAGCACTCATACATCTAGTTTTCACTGGAAATCCTATGTATGAGTGCTCATTGCAAGACAGCCTATATTACGTGATATAGGCTGTAATGTGAACGGGGTGTTATACAAAGGTGAGGAAATCCACACTAATGCACACAAATAGATCAGCTGATTAGTGTTGTTTACTTTTTCCTCTCGCGTTGCCTACGTCACCATTTGTGTCTACGTTTTGATACTAGCAGTTTTTTCATCGCCGCTCGGTATAAGTTATCTGTTTAAATCGTTTCAGCCAGTGAATCTCTCGTTAATAATGCCGAAGTGTGTAGTGAATCTGTGCTTGTTTTCTTCTGCGGATGCTGAAATAAGTGAAAGAACCGTGTTTCCGAAGGACGGTAAAGCGCGGTCCCAATGGGTCAAATTTTGTGGACTCAACAGTGACCCGGGAAAAATCCTGTATATTTGCTCACAGCATTTTTTCCAACGAGTGCTTTAAAAATAATGCCACCATCCAAAATATGCCAGCAAGCAAGGCACGAAACATACTAGTAAAGAATGGTAAGTTTTTAAATTTTTACGTCACCCGTATCAATATTTATTAGCTTTTGTTGTAGCGTGTCCCACCATCCGCCGGAAACCATGTGTACCGGTATCCCATGCATCCGGTCGTGAAAAACGACGTTCATTGAAAGAAAGGAAAGAGATGGTAGAAGCGCTTCTCAAGGTACACGAAAAACAACATCCGGTCGACCAGCAGTTCGAGGATTCATGTTCACAGAAGCCTTCTGAATGTTTTGTTCCAATGTCGGATGCAGCTGAGCAGACTGAAACTGTCGCTGTCAGCTCCGGATCAAACCTTGATGTCCTTCTGGAAGCAATCGAATTATCGGGAGAAGTACATGATTCTGGATTTTTCGACGTCGATGCAAGTCCGGTTGATTCGATTCACGTTCGTGCCGATTAAGAATCCACCCGCATTGAGCATTCCTCTAGCACCCCGCTGCAACCAGTGCTACAAAAGTAGGAAATCATGTTGCAAGATTAAACAGCCAAGTACGGCGCTTGAAAAATACGGTCCAAGCTCGAAACGATAAGATCAAGAGCATACGCCAAAAATTCATCGCGCTGATGAACGTGATTAAAACAAAATACAAGGAGTTGAAAGAGAAAGAACGACAACTTTGCGAAAAAGACGGTGCTGTGGAACATCTTCGAAAGGCCTGTGGTGAGCTAAACGATGTGAGAGAAGTCGTTTTCGTTGAGGTATGATTTAATTTTTTTTTATATACACTACCCATCATAAAAAAAAACAAAATTTTCACTTAAACTTGAAAAAGTTAACTCCTCCTTTGTAATCTTGATGTCATTTTGTATTTTACAAGATGATTTTTGACTTTCCTGTAGTGATTCTCTTCTCTACAAACTGGTTCACAACTTTTTTGAAGTCAACAAAATCACTAGTAGTGATACGCCATCCCGAGTGCAGCAAGCCTCAGACAAACATTGACCCGAGGGGGGCGACACATCTAAATCTCAAGTTTAGATGGTCAACAAATCTCACACTAGTGAATCAATCTTCGAACAATCTTCTTTCATTTGTCGCATCTACTTGCATCGCTTATCAATTTTTTGAAGGAAATCTTCAGAATCGTCATCAATCTTCTTTCTATCTACTCAGCGTGCGCGCAGCTAGCCACAGCAAAACACAATCTTTTTTGCATCGTAGATAGAGTCGTCCCCCTCGCATTGACCCGTACCTGGAGAGAAATGGATCCAGCCTACATTATTAGAACCTGCCGTGCATTCCGGAAGCGTGTGGTAATTGACCACTTTGTCAAGCAGTTTTGGCGTCACTTTCTACCAGCGATTTCACAAAACTGGACCAACTAATTTCTATTTTTTTTTATCAAACGCACAAATGTTGGCTACTTTTCTCGATTGGAGGCGAACCAGCCTAAGGGTACGGCCAGGGTAGACGCAATTCGCGACGCGACGCGACCAATTCAAAAGAATCTTATTAATTATTATTATTCCTTGCGTGAGTCGCATCGCGTCGCGTCGCGTGTTGCGTCTACCCTGTCCGTGGCCTAAGGCTGAAAGCCTCCTAAATAAAGCTAAATTAATTAATTACTTTTCTCGAGGTTCTAGAAGAAAAAATCTCAAAATAATGTTTCATTTCAAAGTTCGAGTAAAAGTCATTTTATCTGCTCGAATGAAGTGGTTAATTAAGGGGCTTAAAGTTTGCATCAAAAAGCATAAACGTAGGTACCGTCCGGCAGGCTCAGATTCTGTAATTGATGTGTTTTCCCTAAAACATATTTCATTTCCGCACCGCTATCATCTCTAAAAACAACAAGGAAAAATTTCCACAGCATTATTCTAAACTGGCTTCCAAGCTTCTTACCCATCGGTCCTTTTAAGGATTACAAATTAATGATAAAAGAGTTAACTAAAGAGTAAGAGCTTGTATCCAAGACATGTCGTCCAGGATTGGTTTGAACTACATGGACATCGACAGAGCACCTCAAAAGCAGAACTCTCAAATTGCTTCCGAACTTCAACCTATTAAAGTTTTTCACTGATAACCAGTGATGGAAAAGTTCGCGAAAACTCACTATGACTCACAAACTTTTCCCTTGGTGAATTTCATGAAATATCGCGAACTTTTCCAACACCGCTGATAACACGCACAAATAGAATTCCACACATTTTGATTGACGAATTTCCATGTAAAATTCCACATGATTTTCATGTAACCACACATAAACAGAATCCACCCAAAATCACACATAAAATTTATGAGTCAAATGAATAGTATGTGTGGTTACACATGGCTTTTATGCGTTGGAGTTAAAGATTATTGCGTGCCTCTATCACTAAACTGACAAACTAACAGCTCGCTCCCATACAAAGTGACACCGAGGGGCGCTAATAAGGTGATTTTTTCAAATGTAATCGTACTTATTTAAAATAGTGTACCAACATTGTTGAAATTTTGGGCTTGGGTTCCATTTTTAATGGAGATTACGAATATGCATTTACCTCAATACCTAGCTCAATACCCTTAAGGCACTGAACCATTTGGTGGATTATTTTAACTTTTGGTTAAAATATGACAGATGGAAAGTTATCGATTAACCCTGCTATTCGAGCGTGGTTACTTCTGACGGACAAGAAGTTAAATTTTAACAACTGTGGCTGAGTTCTTCTCGAAAACCGGTCGATCGACAGCACAGGGATTTTCGAACATAGAAAATAACTTTCGAAATGTTACTTTTAACCATGAGTTAAATTTAACTCGGCAAATGGTTCACAGCCTACACACCAAAAATTGAAATCGAGGTCCAGCCAAATGGATTGCTGAACTGCTTCCAGCACAAGCAGTTTTTACTGAATTGCATGATCTGTCAAACTTTCGATCATTTTGCTTTTCACATTCCTTTGATCTTTATGTTCAGAAATAGCAAGTCGGCTAGAAAGTTCCTTTTTTAACATCATCATCGTGCAATTATGAAGTAAGTTTATGAACTTTATCATTGAATCAATATGGTAATACTTTTATATTTGATTTCAGAGCAGTCAAGTGCTAAATTGCTCGAGTTTTGTCTATACGACTCAAGATACGACTGTTGCAATTTTTACCCGCTAATATTCTCTTATATTTGCCCAATAAATAAACGAGTCAAATTAATAATTATGAACAAGTTTTCTTTCGAAACCAAAATGAGATTCAATTTAAAAACAAATCATATTGCTGGCTATACAGCAAAATAATTGATGTTTAGTTTTACTGAAAAAAATCAGTGAAATATTACTGTTTATACGGTTATGAGCTGTCACTTCTACGTCAGTTTGTTTTGCTGGTCGTACAGCTATAATATTTTGCTGGATAGATTGCTGAACTTCCAGCTCGGAAAAATCCAGCAAAATTTTGCTGGTTAACGGCAATAAAAAATGGGTGTGTAAAGAACCCAATGGACCATTTTGTCAACCAGTTTTGGCGTAACTTTCTACCAGCGATTTCTCAAAACTGGACCAACAAATTACTATTTTTTAATGAAACGCTCAAATCTTGGCTGCTTTTCTCGTGGATGTGGAAGAAAAAATCTCAAAATATTGTTTTATTTCGAAGTTTGAGTGGTAGTAAACGTCATTTCAACTGCTCGAATGAAGTGATTAATTGGCTTGCAAAATAAAATCGATCGACTCCCCGTAAAAAAAATCCAATAAAAATACAATGATTTTCATTGTCATTGTAACCATGTTATGTATTGTCAAAACATTGAACATTTTTGTCATTTACCATAAAATCACAACGAAATTCATGGTTCACAACAATGAAAATTATGGTATTTGAGGAATTTACAGTAAAAAAGGGGGGTTGTTAAGCATCTTAACATTATAAAAAAGTGATTTTTCTCGAACAAATTTGATCTCATCACACTAATTTTCGTTGTTTGAGCATTGTATCGTTAAGAATCGAAATCTATTTTTTCTCCCGTACATTAATTTAACAATAAATTTTAATGTACTCGAAATTCAACAGTAAAAATCATTGTAATTTTGTTGTTTTATAATAATTATTTGTTTCGGGTCCGCAATACCCATCGATACAAATATTAATTTGATTTACATTGGCCCACCCCTTAACCATGTAATGAAGCTTTTCAAAAAAGCTTTCTTCACTCCCAGAGACCGGGAACGGAACCTGATATGTTGTTTGTTTACATTTACATTCTCGACAGTTTGTTATGCTCAGAGCCGCTAGTAAGCTTTTATTCCTCCAGGTTTACACGGAGTGATTAACCGTCCGTGTTGTGTTTTGCGAACCGAAATGAAATTCCGAGCCGTAATAACGGATACATTGTGCATGCGCGAGCTACTGGACATTGTGACCACATTCTCGCGAATAAACCGCAATATTGCCATCAACATCCAACCGTCGAAGGTGATCATTCAAATCGAAGGCGAAGTGGAAGCCGGTCAGTGTCTGTGGTGTGAAATCGATGCATCGAATCGGAACGGATTCTTCAGCGAGTTTGTCATGGACGGGGTGGATGCGGAACACAATCAAATTTATCTGATGGCAGCGACGTCCAACCTGGTGCAAGCGTTGTCCTACACGCGGAACAATACGATGGACTACGTGAAGATGAAGCTGGTGAAAACGGACGTCGCTTGTCTGGAGGTGGAAATGAGCGGGATAGTACATAACGAAAGCGATATCATGAACCCGAAGGTGCAGCATCAGATCCCCGTTACGGTGGTACCCAGGAGTGAGTGGGGAAATTTCGATCTTCCACTGGATATGGTCTACGACCTAACGGTGATGCTGCCTTCGGTGAAGTCCTTGAAGGGTTTGATGGATAAGAAGAAGAATATGTCACCATCGGTGACGATCTACGCTACGCTGGCCGGAGAGTTATCGCTGGTAGTGGAAACGGATGTAGTTACCGTGGCCAGTCACTTCAAGGGATTACAGTGTGCCCGGGCGAAACCACCGGACGGGGGTGAGACCGAGCCTGAGCAAGAAACCCTGGAAGCAGCATGCAAAGTGGACGCCAAAAAGCTGTCCACCCTGCTGGAGAGTGTGGACTTTTGTGAAACGAAAATGATTGCCAACATCAAAAACGAACACCTGTTGAAAATAAAGTTCGAAATGAGGGAACACGTGTTCATGAACTTCATTCTACCGGCTGTGGATTTCGAATAAAAGGAAACTGTTGCACACATTTTTTAATGAATCATCATTTTTATTTTAACTATGAAAAGCGACTAATGTGAAGGGTTTTCGTTCTGCTCTCTTCGTTCGTCCCTAAACTGTTGGGACGTTCTCCGCGTCGTCAGGATTCAGCTCGAACATCCTCCTGATCCCGATACCTTAACTACGTTTTTTTTCAGCCCTCGTCCTAATCCTTCTGTTTTTTTTTTCTTTTTTAGTGTTACGGTAGAATGCCTGTTATTGTTTGCTGAATTTTGATGAATGAGAATGAGAATGTTACATTTAAGCCTCTCCTTACTGAGCTCGTGTGTCGTTTGTTCTTTTGGTAATATTTATCATACTTGTTTTTGTTTTTAGCGATAGGGTTTAATTTATATATTTAAAATTTTCATATTTTGCCTATAGTTCTGTTTGTTGTAAAGTCATAGAGATTTAAACTGTTAAGCCCACGTTTAGCTTTTTCTTCCTATTTTTACCAGGCTCTGTCACGCTCTTACTGGGATAGTTAGTGGGAATGATTGTGTCTTTTTTTATTTCATTTTCGAGATGCATAGCTATTTGCGATTCCTGTTTCATCGAAGAGATTTTTCATTGTGCTCCTTCTTGTATTAGTCTAGTAAATAATAATTTGCTTAGCCACCGCAAGCCCAATAGCCCAATCTTAAACATTTTGGTTGATATAAATAAAGAAAAAGGATAATGATTTTTGATAATTTATTTCCTGCTAACGCTTTTCAAACATGTGCTGCGGTTCATATTACTGGCACAACATATGAAAAGAGATAATTAGCAACAGTATGTGTCGGTTCGCCTGAATGAGTTTTAGTTCGCGAGAAAGTCATTGTTTACATTTGACTCATTGGCCCTTTTCATATGTTGCATTAGATTTACGATTGGGAATGATTAGTTTAAGAAAGTAACCAAGTATACCAGAGCGTGGTGAGGACATACAGTATTTGAAAAGATTTTGTTTTTTTTTTTTTACTTTATTATAGAGAAACTTTTAACCTTGGACTGGTTCGTCTCTTGAAAAACTTTTGGGGTTATTCCAAGAGACGAGTTTTGACACTAATGAATTGAGAAACGTTACGTCTTGGTGACGTAACTATCTGTGCAAATCAAATGGAGGGTCACATTCCCACGACTTTGACTCTAGGAATAACCCCCTATAACTGTCCCCATTGTCGTAGGTAAAACCATTTGGACCGATTAACAGTTAGCTCATATCATGGTGACCCGCAAATCCCGATTAGTAATTTTCCATTTTCGATGTATTTAAATTAAGCATTGAGCTGAAGAGATCACTAGGTTAAATGGCATTATTCTGGATCTTGAATTTGGATCTGAGTTCGAAGCTTTCAACATTGGTCTATGTTTTAACTGCCTTGAAAATTCGCTCAAAACTCTGTACAGGATTTCATTGGATTGTTCTAAGGCATTTCCATAAGACTCATTTCCCTTGACAGAGTTCTTTCCAGAAGTCTTCAAAACTAAATTTGAGATTGTCTCCAAGAATCCATAGAAAATTTCTTTATAACAGTCCAGAAATTGTCTATAGAACGCTTCAAAACATCGAGAAATTCATTCTTAGATTCTCTTCGAATTTTAACGTTTTATTTTTTTTTTCTAAGATTCACTGAAGCTTTCTTTTCATTTTATTTTATTAAATTTGCTTGAATCCTCCTTAGCATTCCCAAGCAATTCTCTTCAGAATTGTCTTAAAATTTAGCTCAAAATTGTCTTGGAGTTCTCCTCTAAATTCTACCGAAAATATACTTGGCATTTTCCTTAAAAAAATCTAACAACTCTTTTCGGGATGCCAATAAATAAAATTATTGTTTTTTGCTATTTTCTGCAAGAAAATAAGTTTTAGCGTAGGTACCTAAATAAAACTCTTTTCAAATGTATTTTAAACGATCCCGTTTGTTTATGTAGTCAAACTTGAAATCATACTGTTCCAACAACTTGACGAGGGGGGGGGGGCGACTCTATCTAGCATGCAGGAAAAATTTCGCTTTGATGAGATGCTGAGAAGATTGATGGAGATTTTGAAGAATTCCTGCAAAAAGTTGAAGAGCGATGCAAGTAGACGGATTTAGATGCAGAGATGAAAAAAGATTTATCGCAGATTGATTCGATGACGTGAAATTTTCTGCCAATCTAACATTTAGATTTGGATGTGTCGCACCCCCAGCAACTTGACTATCGTGCAGTGATTTAGTCGGGTCATTGTAGAACCATAGAGGTTACTCTAAGACCAGAAGGTCCCAAAATAACGTGCTCAACTTTTTGGCTCAGCTCTGGTACTCTCTTTGGTCCCAAGCTAATCGATTCACCCCTCGAAACATAGGAAAAACCAATAACCCCTCATTTTATCTGTCAAAATTTCATAGCGAATCAAAACAAACATTGTGTAGTTCTAGAATTTTGACTAGAATGGGGTACGTTGATCGATTTGCGTCTGACCAATAAGCTAGTCAAGTAGTGATCCAATTTAAAATCGTTAGTTTCCACTAGAAATACTCAGAGGGAGAGATAGGCGGAAAAAACAAAATGCAATTCGGCAGCAGGGATTTGTTCCTAAATTATTTTGCAACCCTTGCTAGAAGCTAGCATTTCAAATGACTTTTATTTTGAATTCGATTAACGTGCAAAATAATAATTGATTGCATCGTAATATTTTGCACATTTCTTGGTGCCATTCATTAAGCAACGAAGATCAATTAATCAATAGAGTTAGAATATTGTTTTTGGTTCCAAAAATTAGTTGAATTTGAGAAGCACACAAAACATAAAGATGATTCAATTTATCAAAATTATTCTAGTAGGAATAAGAAATCATCGTAAACAATCTAATTGGAATGTTCGATTGGCTCAGATTTTGACAGTTCATTTGGCTCAAAACATTCTCTCCGCCTATTGGCGTTGACGGCGACTCTGTAGCTCTTTACTCCTATGAGAAAATCCATAAGCAAACGTCAGACTGTGCGTGAAACATGGCGGATTTTGTACTATCCTTTCACTGATAAATTTAACTATTCCTATTTTGCTTGAAATTTAATCAATTTGACATTAAACTCAGTTTAATCATATCGAATGATTAAAAATTAATCCTCTCTTTCTAAAAATTAAGCATCTGATATTAATCCCAGTTTAATCATGGATGATTAGATTGTAGATTATCTTTTTTTGAATAAATTTTAACCATTTTTGATTCTATTTTAATATTTTTTGATTGAATTTTAATCTTTTTTGATTATATATCAGTATTGAAAAAGAATAAAATTTAATACTGGAAAGATTATTTCGAATTTAATCATGCATGTTTACTGCCGAAGTAATCATGGCTCGGACTCAATAAGGTGAAGCGGGAATCTGCATACTTTTTAAGCTTTTTTTATTTAATTTATCTTTGAGTGAATTCACACCACCGAAAGTTCCCATAAGAAACTGTCGATATTTGCTGGAAGAGCAAATTTTTCGACAGTGCCGTCAACGCCAATTGACGAGTGCACGGATGGATTTGAGTTCACTCACTCGACAAAAAGTGACACAACAGCGGGGCCCTGTTTACTAAAAATGAACACATGAATAATGCTCGCGTAAAATTTGAAAAGGGCATATCAACTTTTGTAAATAATTTGCTAGGTCCTTTTCACGAGAACCGAAGTACGCCCACGCAAACCAAGAGCACTATCGGGAAGGGGAGCATTTTCTCTGCCCGATGGTGTTGTTAGTTTGCGTGAGCGTATTCGGTTCGCGCGAAAAAGGCTTAACAAGTTTTGGGTACATAAGTTGATAGACCCGTTTCAAAAGTTACGAGAGTATTATTCATGTGTTCATTTTTAGTAAATAGGGCCCTGCTGTTGTGTCACTTTTTGTCGAGTGAGTGAACTCAAATCCATCCGTGCACTCGTCTATCTGTCCCTCTGAGTATTTCTAGTTTCCACCGGTTGGTAAAACTAAAGAGCCTGAATTTATAAAGAGACGACATCTTATCCATTTGACAGGTGTTCTGCTCGATTGGAATGACTTTTCCTATGACTTTGACAGACAATCGATTGTTCCAATTTTGACAAATCGCTTCTTTATAAATTTAGGCTCTTTAGGTAAAACTAGATGACCCCAAGCATTTTGGGATCGATTTATAGATATGTCTCTAAATTACACTTCCGAAGCTGTTGAACAGGTAAAAAATGAGGTTACGCGACGTCACTGACCTCTTAAATTTAAAGTTGCATCAACAAGTCGATAGCTGAGAGTCTCCTAAGCTATGCAACTCATCCTTCTTCTTCTTAATTTCTTTATTTAACGTCTCTGTTTCGCAATCTAGTGCCAATCACCGATGGACATCGATTGCCATCCATTGACGACAATAGAATGTGCAGGGAGGCAGCTTCCACAGCTGCGTAGGATATCGCACCCATCAACACACATGAGCCGGGCTATAAATCGTAGTGGGCTCAACACTTCTGAAGTTATTCCATAAGAGTTGTGTGAAGCAATGTAACTACTTGATCTGAGCTAATCTGAAACCAAAATTGAAATGGATTTTCTATAAAATCATGGGTAGGACAATCGATTGTTCAAGTAAGCCGCTGGCCTGTGTACCCTAAGAAAAGGCAGACTTGTCGCACAAACGCATGGATTATTTGGCGTCGCGAAATGCGATGGATGATGGGAGTCACAGATTTGTTAGAAGCTTCAAACAGTCATCCGATTCCGTACTAATAAAACTAATCATTCACAATCACATTTTACTGTTCTTTACTGCCGTTATTCGCATAACTACCCCATGTTATTTGGAATTCTTATAAAACGCTGGGTATTTAAGTGTAAAGGGTGTATTCGATAAAAATGACACACACATAAACAGCTGCATAACCAAATGACTTGAAATTTTCAGTGAAGATTGTTTAGTCCATAACGTATACACATGTCTTTGTGTGCGCTAATTACAATCAACCTCGTATTAAAGAGCCTGAATTTATAAAG